CTGACTGACTGACTGACTAAGGGTGGGTCTTTGCTGAAATCCAGGTCACGCTTCAGTAGGTGCCTTCCCATCCTCCTCCTTTCTCACCAAACAAACCATCCCTCTGAGTAAAAACCTGCCTGTCCAGGTGACGTAAACCTGGACAGGAACCCGAGGGATGCCCCAGAATCAGGGAACCAAATCTGGGGCCCGTGGAGCCTCACGCCCTGCCCCCTTGATCCTTTTCTTAGGCTCCAAAGGGCTCTAGCTTCTCCTTACCAACCCCACCCAAAGCCTTATGTCTTGGGGAGAATCTGGGGAACGCGCCACAGGAAGGACAAAGTCTGGCTCACCAGAGGGAGGAGAGGGTGAGGCCTGGCCTGGGACGTGACTTGCTCCAATCTTTATCTCACTGTTCCCTTTTCCAAGGAAAGGAAATAAACACTTATTAAGTATCAACAAGAAGCCCTGATGGCGTTGTGAGTTAGGGCCTGTGCTGCTAACCACAAGGTCAGTGGCTCGGGCTGGTCAGTGGCTCAAGTTCACTAGCCACTCTGGTAGTGCCTTTTGTTGTCTGCTCCCATGACATTTTATAGGGTTGCTAAGAGTTGGCATTGCCACAATGACAGTGGGCTTGGGGGTAAGGTACCCACTGGACACCAAGCCCTGGTGCTAAGTGCTTGACACCTTATTTCGCTGGAGAGTCACAACAGCCCTATGCTGGGGGCCTCATTCTGCATTTAAAGACGGGGATTTTGAGAGACTTCTTAACTTGCCCAAGATGCCATAGCAAGATGATTTGTCTTGACGTTGCATTACTTCAGATTGAGAAGATTTGCCGCCTCAAAGAATGATGAAGCTAGTAATTGGAAGGATGAAAACTCCCTCCCCCACCCTTGGAAAAACCACTGTCAACGTCCCATTGAAAATGGTACTGCTGGGCCGGAGGATAAAACTCTTTCCACTTAAAAAAAAAACCAAACTCTTTCCACTTAGCAAAACTGCCCTGCCTGAAGAGAATGACTACTTCAGGAGGTGTCTGAATAGCAAGCTCATCCTGGTGTTTACTGCTTTTTTGTTGTTGTTGTTTCTGGGGATGGTATTTGGAAAATGAGGTTCATCACCAAGAAGAGAAGCCTTGAGAGCTTGTTAGTCCTGCCACCACCACTGCTCTAGCTTCCCAGGCCCACGAGAGGCGTTCAGACGATAGGCCCTCCTCTCTTGACCTCTCTCTCTCCCACCTACATTCCCATAATGAGATGGGGGGAGAAAAGGACAAACAGCCTCACACAGACCCTCCCAGAGGGGAGGGACTGAAGCGGAGGTCCCTGCTACTCCAGCCCCTGACTGTGGGGTCTGCAGCGGAAAGGGAGAGTTGTTGTTCGAAGCCATCCAGTGGACTCTGACCCATAACGACCCCAATGCCCAACAACAGAATGAAACACTGCCCAGTTCCGGGCCAGCCTCACAAGGATTCCTCTGTTTGCGCCCATATTTGCAGCCACTGTGTCAATCCACCTTGTCAAAGGCCTTCCTCTTTTTAGCTGCCGCTCTACTTGACCAAGCATGATGTCCTTCCCCAGGGACTGGTCCCAAGTGTGCAAGAGGAAGCCTCCCCATCCTGGCTTCTAATGAGAAGAGAGGAGCCCTTTAAAGACTGCACGACCCACCTGGTCCTGAGGCTTCTTTCCAGGGAATGTAC